CTGCTACTAATGCTATTGCTACTGCTGCTACTACTGCTGCCAGTGGCGGTAGCTCGAGCCCGACGACTGCTGCTGCTGCTGCTGAGCCGCGGATGTACTACCAGTATGTGTTCCAGTTCTGATGCTGTGCCGCATAGAAAAAAGCAACGCATCGACAGCAACAACACCAGTTCCAGCGGCAGTACCACTACTTGTGCGTGTGGTGTCGTCATCAGTTTCCTGAAATGCCGTAGTTCAATGCATTTATGAAGTCTTTATAGTGCTGCAATGTCACCTAGTCGTTTGCACAACTACATCAAGAGCAGTGATAGACGATGCATACGCTTGCGATCATGAACGTCGCCATGATTCAGAATGCTCCCTTTACCGTTGTCCCGGTCGTACGAGCACTTCTGCTGCCTCAATTAGACTTGAAAGCATGTGGTTTCAGCTTGTGGTATACTGCAAGGTGTTTTCTGCGAAGTTGAGGGTTCTCGGGGTCAAATCAACATCTCGCTCTTGCATGAACTGCAGACCGTCCAACACAGTTCAAAATCCTCAGACCCGAAACTCTCACAGCACAGGTCCAAAAGCAACACAGCAAGCAAATGCCAAAGCCATCATATGGGTCCGACAAGCTCACAGAGCCTGGCCTTATTTTTCCCGACGCATGCGGAATGAGCGCCCGCACCCGGGAATGCTGCGTACGCTGACAACAGGTGTGGAAAGCAGTACGGGAACTTCAATTCCGTGTCTCGGCAAGGATTTGTGGGGCTGGCGGATGGGTTCAGGCTTGGGATGGTGGATGTAGGAATCCCTATGGGTCCATGTACCCAAATATATACATTGGCCTTAAAGTAGTCTCTATAATTGTACTTTGAGGCCAATGTCTACACTATTTGGGCACATGGACCCTTAGGGAATGTTCCGTCGGTTTGGTCGAGGTATGTCGGGGGCGCTTTACTTTCACGAGGGGTTTGGGACGGGAGCCACAGCACACGCCATCAAGATATCTTGCGGCAGCAATGATTAAAGGAGGTTATTGCTTATTGGTGTCTATCTTGAACGTTCTCTTCCGAGGCTGTGCAGTCCCTCCCCGGCGTCCTTCCTTGGCCAGCGAGACAGATCAGCTGCAAGGGGCGATGCCGCAGGAGGAGCAGTCACAGGAGCTGGGTTTCGGGTGGCTTTGGTGACTGTTTTGCAATAACCACGCCTGACCAAGGTTTGAGGTGCAGTAGCTAGAGTGGTCCACTCATCCAAGCCAGGGGGAGGGGTGGCGCGCAGGTTTCAGTGTAAATTCAGAACGTCTTCATTCAGCCTTGTTTTGCGGTGCTTCGGTTGCTCTGAGCTGAGCCCTAAACACTCAACTCTAAACTAAACGCTAACCCCGAAGCCGCAGACCCTCCCCGACCAACCCCCCGACACAAGACTCAACCGATATGTCGTACCTATAGTCTCCATCCTAGTTCCTTTTTTGGGGATACCTTATAAAATCCTGAATATATAACTGGTTAAACCAATAAAAGGAACTACAATGGAGATTATGTAGGTAGTCCTTAACCACACATCTTGACACAGGGGTCTCTAGGGGGTTCCTTTAAGGGTTCTGTAAAGCTTTAGGGTTTAGGGGACGTATAGAAGCTGCAGTATTTAGAAACATTATTCCTTGAGTTCCTGCCTGTAAGTGTAGTACAATACACCCCTTCACTCCTTTTCAATTGTAATGGCCGTTATGTTAGCTTCAAAGTCCGTACATCCTAGGCCCTAATTCTAATTTCCCCTCTAACCCACAGCCACATCTTGGAATCGTTCGTTCTGACTAGGGTGTTGGGTGTCCTTTCCTGAATTCCGTTGCAAATGCAGCCACGGTCAGGAGCCACCCAAACCAAGGACGAACGCGGTCGTGCAAGACGTGAAGTCACAGGCGCGAGAACCGAGACCCGGACACCGTAAGCCCCCAACCTGCAGTGCTGCAGGGCCAGCACGGAAACCCTAAAACATGCATTCTGGAGTACCATACTTGAATACTTTTTTTTGGGACCTGTTCCTTAAGGGAGCCGTTATGAAATAAAAGTCTATCCTTTTTTCTCCCTGGTTACTTCAAAGTCTAGGAAATGCACAAAACAACGAACCTTGCAAGCATTGCACCCCAAGCCCTCAACTTCAAGCTGGCTATCTCTGCACCCGCCTTGGGCCACTCCCTGACTTGACGAAGGAATGCAGGACCAAAACAGGTAGGCCGTACTGGGCGATGTAACCGTAACCCCATAAAACTCAGCCTCATAAGACCAAAACTAGAGTCATGATAGAATTACTTCTTTAGTTTCTAGGGACTCTCTTACGATATGTATGTATATATATATATATATATTATATATATATATATATATGTTTATATGTATGTTTGTATAAGTATGTACGGGTATCTGTATATGTACATACGCACACGTATGTGTATATGCAAAAAGCAACTCACTGAACATGCGTACTAGATGGGCACATGGCCAGGCGCGACAAACTCGCGAACACAGCTTCGGCCCTGGGTGGCTTTGAGAAACAAAATCAGCACCGGTTTAGGGCGTAAGGTTTGGGGTTTAGGGTTGTGGGTTCGGGTTTTTAGGGTTCAGGGTTTGAGTGCATGTTTAGATGCTTTGGTGACCTGTCCGTTCTTGTCGTTCACGGCCTTTTAAGGCCTTTTGGGGTTTTGGCTGGGCCTTTGGGGTTCTGTGTAGGGTTTAGGGTTTAGGGTTTAGGGTTTAGGGTTTGCAGTGCTTATTTTGGAGCCCATGCTCCTTTAAACGGAGCCCTTAAAGGAAGCCTTAAGGGAACCCTCATATGGAAACCCTTAAAGGGGCCCTTAAAGGGAAGCCTTAAGTTAACCCTAAACCCTAAACCCTAAACCCTATAAACCCTAAACCCTAAAACCTTCAAGGAGCATTTAGAGGCCCTCGGGGTTTACGGTTGTTGTTGGCCTTTTGAGGTCTCATCCGCAACGCGCTTTGGGTGTTCTTCTCCCTAAACCTTAAACCCGTAACGGCCTAAACCCTAAACCCTACTGAGCAGCCCAGGACATGGCAGAGTGCGAAGAGTCAGGAGAGTGACCTCGATGACTCGCTGACCGAGGCCTCGGTGAGACTTTTTAGGGTTTAATAGGGTTTAGGGT